TGAACCTGAACTTTCTAAGTCGGATGATTTCCTTCTAACATCCTCGGATAGAATCATACTAACAACCTCGCTCAGCTTCAACTTCTCCTTCCCCAACGAGTTGCTAATTGCAGTCACGTAATCTGCCCAACTATCCGACAACTGTGATAAAATCAATAGGGTCTGCACTTCGTCATCAAACGTGATATCCATGGAGATAAGTTGATCAACAATCGTGTTGAACTCACTGAGGTGCATCGTGAAGGAGCATCCTTCTGCCATCTTGAGGTTGAAGAGCGTTTTGACGAGATGCACCTTGTATGCAGCTGACGGTTGCTCGTACATCTTCGCGAGTGCTTCCATAAGCCCCACCGTTGTCTTCTCCTTCAATATATTATGAGTGACCGATTTGGCGAGCGACAAACGGATTTTCCCTAAAGCATTTCTATCCAGTATTTTCCACTCCTCGTCTGATTCCTCCTCCTTCTTTCCCTTAGTCTTGCTCATCAACGGATGGTAAAGATCCTTCTAGTACAGATAGTCCCCCATCTGTGACTTCTAGTAGGTGAAGTATGACCCGTCAAACTTCTCGATCTTTGATTTGCTTTCCTCTGCCATGACTCTCTCATAAATCTTCTGAACGAAGCTCTGATACCAGTTGTTGTGGATTCGAAACAATTAATCGAACTCGTGCCCTTTCGGATCTTGTGTTAAGAGTTTAGCAAGTAGGAAAATCACCACAAATAAAAGAAAAATTGCAAGAAAGATAAACAAGAAAGAACACACCAGATTTAATGAGGTTCAGTAACGTGCCTACGTCATTGGGAGTCGTACCACACAATTCATTGATTAATTAAAGAAGATTACAATGCTCACAATTGGCCTCTCTCTCTCTCTCTCTAAGATTTCTAATCTCAAAGAGCCGTCGAAACCCCTCTTTTTCATGTTTTACAAACCCTAGCATAACCCTAAAACCGTATTAGGATATATATATTATATATATATATATATAAACCCAGTCCTAAACAGAATCCCAAACAATTTAGGAAACGACAAAAAACTGCTTTCAGTCGACCGGACCATGTGCTTTGGTCAACCGGCCAGAACGTCAGTTTCCTACAGGGTTCTTGTGCACCTTTTCGGTTGACCGTATCATCACCATCGATCGTCCAGATGACCACTCTTGGTCGACCGTCATCAATCTTCGGTCGACCGGTCAGATTGAGTTCCTGGGCTGTTTTCCTGCAGTTGTTGCGGTACGACCCGACCTCCTCTGTCGGTCGACGACTCGAGATTTTTCAGCTTTCTTCGTTGATTTGATTCCATGCTTGGTCTACACTCTCGAGACTAACAATGAAGATGGATATAAATATGTTTTGCAGCCCTAGTCGTAAGAATTTTGAGCCCAATATTAGCTGAGCGTGTCTACTGGGCTAACTGCGCGTTTGACAACTCCAAAATAAAACCAGTTCTTTTTAATAGGCTAGAGTTTGGTCCATGTAGGGGTTGATCTCCAAAAAAGGAAAAAGGAAAAAAGAAAAAAGAAATAAATATAAAAACAAAAACACTAGTTTAAGGGTGTATTTCACAACTTCAAAATAGAATTAGGCCAAAGTTAAACTATGTAAGGATTGGTAAAAAAAAAAAGTTTAGTGGCTAGATTTTAAAGTAGAAAGAATTGATACAATTTGGACTTAACTTTTGCCAAACTAAAAACATCGTATCGGATCAATGTTGTACCATCTTAAATAAATTTAGTGAAGTTGCTACATACGCCCTAAAAACTAGAATTTGACCTAGAAAAAACCAGTTCAACTTAGGAAACTAAGAACAATGTTTTCGTCCAACTTTGCACAGGCTCCGGCCTGCTAAGGCTTCGTTTGGATACCATAATGTTTTTCTTTTTGTGTTTTTGTGAAAAAAACATCATGGTGTTGTGTTTTTCCCATAAAGTGTTTTCAAAACACCATGTTGAGTGTTTTTGTCAACATTAGTTTGACCTATTACAACATTAGTATTAAACATATTATTAATATATTATATATTAATTATAATAAAATATTATACTATTTAGTTTATATTATAATATTATTATAAGTATTAGTATAATATAATATAATATAATATTGTATAATGTATTATAATATTATATTGTTAGTAATGTTAATATTATGTTATTACTACTACATTATTAATAAATTTATATATTACAAATATTTTAATATTATATAATATATTAATTATTTTGATATATCAATTTGTTATTGTTATATTATACAACATTTTAAAAATAATATTATTTTATTATTTCTATGATATTATACTTATATTAATATAATATAATATAATTATTAATATAATATAAATTATTAATAATGTTAATATTATTTTATACAACTACATTATTAATAAATTCATATATTACAAATATTTTAATATTACATAATATATTATAGTTTCTAATATGTTAGATTTTATTAATAATAATTAATAATTTACGATATAAATCAATATTATTATATTATGAATATATTTTTTTATATAACATTTGTTAGCAGTAAGTTATTTTTTGTATTAAAACTTATTTTACTTTATAATATAATAATATTTTTATATTATACTTTAATGAGTTACATTATTTTATAATTATTATTATATTATAATTATTACATATTACGGTTTAAATAATTATATACTTAATTATTTTGGTAATCAATTTGTTATTATTATATATTATATAATATTTTAAAATTAATATTATTTATATTAGTATAAATTATATTATTTAAGTGTAATATTATACTATTATTAATATAATATTTTACTATTATTAAGATAATATAATATTAATAATAATGTTAATATTATTTTATTACTACTATATTATTAATAAATTTTAATTATTATATATTTATATTATTTAATAAATATTACTAATATATTTGTTTAATTATAAGATAATATAGTATAATATAATAAGTATGTTGATAATAACTATATATTAATTATATTTAATATATTATATTAGATATTATATTAACACATCCTCAAACACAAAATCAAAACATCAAACTTAAAACACGTAAAATGTGTTTTGAAATAAGTGTTGTGTTTTTGGTTTGAGGATGATTTAGCTTAAAAAACACTATGATTTTTAATTGCATGGTGTTTTTTTTTTTGATAAAAACAACATGGAAGCAAGTAAAACACCATAGTACCCAAACAGAGCCAGATTATCCAAAATGGTTTTGGACCAAAGATTGTAACACTGAAAAAAGTTGTGGATCTGTGAATGTACCCTATATTCACTTAGGGGGTGTTTGTTTCGAAATTTTTTTGGGATATATGCTGGATTTGAAATTTTGGGATGTAAAAAGTGATTTTTTGAGGTTTTGGAAATCCATAAATCATGTTTGTTTAAAAAAAAAAATTTGGGATATTGAATCCCAAAAACATAAAAAACTATTATATTTTAGCATATATGAAATCCTCTTTTTGAGCATGGATTTGGGCAGGATATCAGACACAAGCAGTCCAGCTCATCTCCTCCTCAGCTCCCGAAACCAAAACCCACGTTCCTGTCACCGCTTCTTCCCCCGCCTCTACCAAATCCTACCCGCGCTCAACCGACGAGAGAGGAGAAATCCAAAGAGAGAAATTCTTCCCCCGCCTCTACCAAATCCTACCCGCGCTCAACCGACGAGAGAGGAGAAATCCAAAGAGAGAAACCGACCCTCTCCTCTCAAATTAAAAATAAAAAAAAGCTCAAGACTCAGGTGAGGATTTGTATAGGAAAGGAGGTCACCACGCGGTGAAATTAAAAATAAAAAAAAGCTCAAGACTCAGGTGAGGATTTGTATAGGAAAGGAGGTCACCACGCGGTGAGGATAGGTGATCAGTTCGCCGTCGGCCGATACATCGCTCAGAGGAAGCTCGGATGGGGGAACTTCTCCACTGAGCGGCTCGCCTTTTTTTGATCTTTTATTTGATTCCAGTTGATTAAATCGATGGAGTATATTCTTGTGGAGGGATTGGATTTGGCGGGAGAATGAGGGGGCGGTGGCGGGAGAAAGATGGGATCGGGACATTGGGGACGAATCGCCTTTTTTTGATCTTTTATCTGCTACTTCGTTGGTTCTCTCCTCCGACTCCTCCTCCTTTTTTTCTGAATTTTTTATTTTAGTTTTATCTGTGTAAACAAAAGGGGAAAAAAATCCATTTTATTTTAGTTTTATCTGTATAAACAAAAGGGGAAAAAAATCCAGCTTGGTGATTGGGTTTCGGATCTTGAGTTATGGATTCGATAAAGAACGTGCATCGGGTTGATGGATGTGGGGATGTGGAGTATGCTGAGATGGATCCAACGTTGGTTTTTTTCTCCAATGAATTGCTGTGCGTTGTTTGCTTATGTATAACTGTGCAATTATATTTGTTTTTTTTGGGAGGTAAGCTCACCAAAGTTCTTATATTCACCATCTATTATTTTGGTAATCCTAAAACTTGTTTGTTACAACTATGGATTTCAAATTCTAAAATTTGTAATGCTACAATTTGAGTTTGAAACAAACAAGAATTTACAAATTATAGCATTTCAAATCCCAAAATATTGATGAAACAAACAAAGTTTTAGGAATCCCAAAACCCACCAAAAAATTTATGGATTTCAAATCCCATGTGAAATCCATATCCATAAATTTTGGGATTTGAAACAAACACCACTTAGCGGTGACCGGACTCCATTCACTTCTCACTCATCCCGCTCTCTCACTATCCCCAATTTCAAACATCTGTCTTGTCTCCCCTCAAAAATACCCCGAAATGGTCCAATTCCCTTTCCAAAAACCCTAATGGTGTGTTTGGGAGTTTACTTAGGGAAGGGAAGGAAGGGGAAGGAAGGGGAATTTTTCCCCTTCCTTCCCTTCCCCTCCATTACACCCCAATTTGGGGGTAAGAATTTGGGCCAAATTTTCCCTCCATTCCCCTCCTCTACCCTACAAAATGAAACTCCCAAACAAGGTTAAAATGAAATTTCCCTTCCCTTCCCCCCTCTCTACCCTCCATCCAAACAGGCCATAACTCCTAACCCTAATTCTGAGAAACCCCATGGAAATCACGGAGGAGCAGCGTCAGAGAGCTGAAGCCAACCGCCTCGCCGCCCTCGAGAAGCGCAAGCGAGCGGCCGAGCGCTCCGACGACGACCCATGGCGCCTCTTCCGCTGCCGCAAGATCCCCAGCCCTACCCTCTCATCGTCCAAAGAGGATCCTGATCCCATAAACAACTCCGATCCTCCTCCTCCGCCGGCGGTTCGCTTCCGCATCGTCATCGAGATCTGTTCTCCCACTGAGTTTTCCGTCACTCCTCAACCTCTAAATGGTTTCACTTTCCCTGGAGGACTCGAATGCTTTCAGAGAATTGAAGCCAGTCTCTCTTCGGTCTCTCCGTACCTTTGCTTTTTTTTTTCTGCGTTGAATTAGGGTTTAAGAAAGGTCTCATCTTTTCCCTTCTTGATTATTTCAGGTTGTCCCATTTCGTGAAATTGAGAGCCAAGGCATCCGAATGACGGTGGCCTGCAAGATTAAGGATCATGAACTGGTGTTGAGATGCTTGAGGACGATATCAGGGGTTGAGCTGCAAGATATACCTCCCAGGACGTTGTCTGTGGCCAAAAGGTTTCAAGAATGCGTCAGAGACCAGTGGAAACCTTTTAGTCAGGGATGGTATACTGATGAGCAGGTTGATGAGTTGTTGGAGAAACTGCCTAAGACTTTACGAGATGCTCTTCTCCCATTTCAACTTGAAGGTGTGAGGTTCAGTCTTCGAAGGGGTGCGAGGTGTCTCATTGCAGATGAGATGGGATTAGGCAAGACGATTCAGGTACCCTTTTTTTCTTCTTTGATATCTTTGTTCCTTTTGTAGAATTCTAAAGCTGAATATAATATTTTTGCGGCATTAGCATTTTGCATTCTTGTCATGCAATGCTCATATATTATACCAGTAGTCAGTATCAGATGGCACATAAGCTAATCAGAAAGCAAGTCCAAAGATACTTAAGGGGAAAAACATTATTAGCCATCTCCTGAACCATGTAAATGCTAGAGAACGCGCTAGGCGCTGCTAGGCGTTGGGCTGGCACCTAGACAGATTTCTTTCTTTGTTCAAGTGGTGGTGGAGGAGGAGGTTTTGCTGTAGGTTGGAGGATGTATTCATAGTTGGTAGAGGAGGTTAGAGACCGTGGAGATTGCAGTGGAGGAAACCTTGACCAAGACCGAAGCGGTGTGGTCTAGTAAGCGGTCCACGCTCTAGGCGCTCTAAAGACCGAGGCGGCTGGCCTAGGTACCACCTAGGCCTAGGCTGGCAAGACACTCTTTTTAAAACATTGACCAGGAAACTTAATAATTTTTTGGTGCATCTTCAAATCTTGAACATGATTAGTTGGAAGTTGAAGTTATGCCGAAAGGGGCAAACCAACATCGATGATGCCATGTCCAAAAGTGAGCATAACCAATAACATAATCCATGTAAATATTAAATATACAGTAGTTTGGATTTCTAAATGCTAGAATATCTGTAAATCTCACATGGTAGGGGTGCATCGGTATGGTTTTTCCTTACAAGTATATTCGAAGGCCTAAACTTACTAATAACCATAGACCATTTTACTTGACCAGGATGCCAAGGTTCATATAATTGGTCTCTACATGAGTATCTGATAGAAATCAACAATAAGTCGAATGATTTCAACATAATTACCTTAAAATTTCATCGTGATACATATATATCCAATAAAATATACATATGCAAAACAGCTTCTAGTAAGATTAACACAAGAAAAGTCAAACTGGAAAGTTATAAGGACACAAGCATGAGTTGACTGGTATGAGAAAAGCACGATATCAATGATGAGCTAGATCTTGATAATTTGATGAATCGTATTGATCTTGATGAGCCGTATTCATATAGAAAGTTTATATAGAAAGGTATAATATCATAATTTTTGAGACCAACTGACCAAGTTTGGAAAGAGTATATAGTGCCTTTTTACAATGTACAATTGTAATGGTTTTCATGATGAGGTTCCCAACTGCGAAGGAAATGAGTAGTGGCCTATCGCGTACATGAGTTCCAAATATGTTGTGGACACATTCATATTCGTGTAAAAAATATGCACATTCGTATTCATGTTCATGTTTAATGTATAAAGAAGTGCACAACTATGATCATAGGTCTCATAATCATGAAGTTGAATCCCATAATTTGTTGCCTCTAATATTAAGAAGAAAAATGAAGATATCTTACTTGTTGTAGTTGTCTATGATTTAGTGCTTGATTCCTAATTGATATTTAAATTTTAATCTCAACAAAGAGTCTTCCTGTCTTCCCCTTATTTTACTTGTACTGTCGTGAACTTTCTAACAAGGTAAATGTCAGTGAGGGAAAATTTGGGGAACACCTTTATCCTTTTATAATAAATGGAAAGACCTCCTTCTATCAAACTGTTCCTCTCTCATCTTAGTAATCATAATAATTTAGAAATGACTAAGATGATAATAAAACTAATCAATTAGGCCATTACTATAATCTAATATGAAATGTCTGATAAATTTGAAAATTCACCTTTCACATCAAATCACCTCAAATCAATATAAGGTACTGGATTAATATATAATCTTTGCGAAGTTCATATCGGCAATGCTGGAAAAACATGCTAGATAATTATTTCACATTATGTAACATAACAAACCTTAAAAGTTATGTAACATTTTGAAATAATCCAAACATTTAGTAATGCTACACTATTACAATTTAGCATATACTATTTCAACACATTTTATGCTATTTAATATGGCATGCACTATTTTAATATGACATGTTATTTTGAAATAATTTATAGTAGATTCTTGAGAATATTTCTTTCTTTGCTTTGTTTAAGGTTTGATGTAATTAAGTATTTATTTTGGATTGTTTATTAAGCATTGATGACTTCTTTCATTGTTGTTATTGATATATGATGACATCATTATGCTCGTGATTGTAAATTCATGATATGTGTAAAATGATTTGAATATGAAATTTGCTATGATATATGTGAACATATATTTTGGTACTTGTTAGTAAATTAGCGTAGATCGTAGTTAATTGTAGAGTTTTTATTTAAATTTAACTTCTTATATTTTGAAATCATAATGGTCATTTTATTTTTGTTTTAATTTGAAAAATAATAAATCCTGTAATCTAAGTTATGCCTTATGTTATATGTGCTTTAATTTGGTGAATGGCCATGCATGACATTATACATGGTCCTTATTTTGAACATTTTTCATTGAGTTTTAAATACTGGGATTACAATAATACTTTGAATTGTGAAAACCTATGGCGTAAAATGTCTAGAACATGGTAGATTTTTGAAAAAATATTTTTTACTTCTATTAGTACTTTAATTTATGAAAAAGTACAACTTTTCTATAACTTGATAAAATATACTGCTTATGAATGGTGGCTATTAATTTTAACATTCATATGATTAAGGCAATGGATCTTGGTTATCTTTTATTTTTGTCCTGTGAAATTACAGTGTTAATTATGGAAGTTGAGAAAGATATTAATACCTTAGTGCATACAAAATTGCAAAACTTTCTAAGAGATTTATAAAATTGTAATTGTGAAACTCTGAAGAATTTTGTAGTTTAAAATACACTGTCGAATATGATGTCCCTGTTTGAGAGGGGCATAGTTTCATGAATCCTGATAAATGTGCTTGCTGCATAAGTCAGCGAACAACTAAAAATTGCTCATTGTCATATCCTTTCTAGCTGCTATAGTCTTGAGACTCCAATATGTTGGAGATATGAATGTTATTGTAGTTACTCCAAGTGTGGTGCCAGATATAAACTGGCTGTCATGCAAAATTTTAATTCTTTACAACTGACAATGGTCAATCTATGCCATGGAATTTAACATTTTCATTTGTTTTCCTCATTTTCAGGCAATTGCTATTGCTTGTTGTTTCCATGATGAAGGCCCTATTCTAATTGTTTGTCCAGCTGTCCTGAGATATTCATGGGCAGAGGAGTTAGAGCACTGGCTTCCCTTTCTATTACCAAAAGATATTCATCTTGGTAATTATTAACTTATTATGACAAGTTCTAGAAAAATTTCATCTGATGATTCTGTGTGTTAGAAGCTTTCTTTCACAACATTGTGATATATTTAATTAAGCTATACAGATGTTGCATCATGTGTTATTTCTTTTATTGCATCTAAGTGATAATTTAGAACTCCCTACCTTCAATTTCTCTAATGTTTTCGCACATAACACATAGGATATCAATCTGAGTAGCTTGGTAGTCGATGATGTTGATAATGATAGTAAAATTTTATTTTTGTGTTTGTATATGTCAATGATAAATTTTACAAGATAGAAAACTAAAGCAACAAAAATCTCAGATGTTATTAATTATTTTCAAGTTATATAAATCGATATATAGTTTAATAACCATATTTTTCTGATCATTGATGAATCAAATAGACACTCATGTATTTAACATTTAATTATTTAGTTCTAGATAAATCATCAACGTGTTCTTGATATGTCTAGGATACTTTGAAAATTTAGGATACACGAGATGTGTCCAACATGTATCCATCAAGTATTAGTGGTAAGTATCAAATATGTATTTCATATGGGTATGTCCTTCAATCAACAGGGTCTTTGTAAGTTAATCCTAGTTCTGAACAGAATACTGTAAGGACTAGTGCTCTGTCTCTCATAATAGATATTGGTACCATGTTTGTTTTTAAGTATGTCAATTGAATATATTTACAGTGTAAATACCTGCCCATACTTTATCTTATTTGGTTTGGACTTCATAGATATTTTGAGCAATATTGAGATGTAGATGTCTATGTGGGATATATAAATGTTGTTAAGAATGTTTTATTTTATGGTTAGCATTAATGAGTTATGGTCAAATGTGGAAATGTTTTTTGTAATATGTATCAAATTTCCAAAATAAATGAAGAATTTTTTTATAGATTTATAAAACTAAGAGGATAAGTTAAAGGGTTACTGTCAAACTGTAAATACTTTTGGGCCTAAACTAATTACATAAGCAATGTTACAGAAGGTGCTAAGCAGACTACGCGTTTGAGCCAGCGCCTAACACCTAGACGCTTAAGCGTATGCCTAGGCGGCACTGGTTTAAAAAACCTCCGCCTAGTCCGCTTAGGCGTTCGCCTAGGCCTAGGCGGTACCTAGGCCGTCTAACTAGCGTCTATCGTCTAGGCGATATTTAGGTTGCCCACCTAGATTTTACGAGCGTTTAGAGGAGCATTGTCTGCTTACGTGGATTGCACCCTGTAGGTCTTGGTTGTGATTTTATGTGTTGTAGCTTACACGTCCTCCAAACTCCATTAACCTCCAAATATGAACACCTTCACTACCTCCTCCGACTTTCAACAAAACCTCACCGACCACCACTTAAATGAAGAAAGAAATCCGCCTAGACACCAGTCCGACATCTAAGCTTTCTGTAACATTGACATTCACTATCAATTATTATAATTAAAAATAAAAAGAAAACATCTTAGGTTCTAGCCTTGTTAATTATTATTTTGGCTATTTAATATCTAAGTATGCATGATTTACTGTGGAACCAAAATTGCTATATTTTTTTGAAAATTTATATGAATTTAATACATATTATAATTTGAGTTGAGATGAACTTATAATTTGAGTTGAGAAGTATAAACATACAAAGAGTTATTGTAATTAGTAAACCAAGCAATTTAGTTAATAGTGTTGGTATTTTAGTATTTATGCATCTTTGATTGAGTATATATATATTTATCTTCAAGTATCACAATTAAAAAATAAAAAATAAAAAAAACGCCTAGAAACCGCTTAGGCGCCCGCCTAGATGACTAAGCGCTGAGCGCCAAGTCCGACGCCTAGAAGCGCCTAACGTTTAATGTAACATTGCTAGGCGGCGCTTAGGTGTTTGGCTATTTTTATAATAATTAATAAAAATATATATTAAATTCATATAAATTTGTAAAATAATAGATATCAACCCTAGATCCACAATAAACCATGCATACTTAAATGCTAAATAGCCAAAATAATAATTAATAAGGTTATAGAAAGCGCTAGGAGGCCTAGGTGTTGGGCCCCGTCGCCTAGAACCTAGGAGATCTTTTTTTAATTTTTTAATTATAATAATTGATAGTAAATGTTAGGTGACGGACTGGTGTCTAGGCATATTTTTTTCTTCATTTAAATGGTGGTCGAGGAAGTTTTGTTGAAGGTCGAAGGAGATAGTGGAGGTGTTCATATTTGGAGGTTAAACGAGTTTGAAGGAGGTTGGAGGACGTGGAGGCTACAACATAGAAACTCAAGATCAAAGCTTAAAGGATGCAGTCCACGTAAGCAGACAATGCTCTCCTAAACACTCCTAAAACCTAGGTGGGCAGCCTAGGTACCGCTTAGGCGCTACTTAGGCGGCCAAGGTACCGCTTAGGCCTAAGTGTACGCCTAAGCGGATTAGGCGGAGGCTTTTTCAAATAGTGTACATAAGCATGAAGACTATGTATTTCCTAAGTTTTTTCAAAGAAAAATAAGATCAAAGTAACGAAAGTTTAACAAAGTCTTGCAATAGATTATACACGTGTTATGTGGGTACTAAACAACTTATATATTTTTTCAACATCCCTCCCCCAAAGCTACTGTAATATATCCCCGCAAATGTGTAAAACTTGAAAATACCAAGCAAAACCTCAAGTAATTTAAAAAATACTACCTGTCATTTACTTGTTAAAATTGATTGTTGAAGACATTATTTGCTTATATGTCCTTCACTGTTTACTAGATCTGGAATCTTGATCCATTCTTCTCTTTCATTTGCCTCTTTCAATTGGACCGTATCCCTCACAATAGCCCAGAACTTGCTCCTCCTATTTCTTAGTTCTCTAAATTAGTATTGCAATCTAAATTCTTTTTGCATCAAGATCTGCTAAGACTTGCACATTACCAAAAGTTTCAATTACGTGAGCATCCTTATTTATCAACCCATTCTAATCCCCATATCACAATAAAAATTCTGATAATGGATTTCATTAGAATTCTAGCTTGTAACCCATACGAACAAATGGGAGGGCAATATGAAATATCGACTTAAGATATTAAAAGAAGGTACTAAATGTGTAATCTCTAATACAGAAGAAAATAAATTAAGAAACATGATGATGAAGGGTTAAGGAGAAGAATATGAAGGAGCAATGGGGATGATGTACTATTTGTTACCCGTCAAGCCATTGGAGGTTACATGGTGTAAGAATGGATTTAGTTGGATTAGTCCCAACTCCCTAGTGCATGTTAAGATAGTGGAAGAGACTCTTGATGAGAAAAAGAGGGTAAACTAGAGAAGTGGAGATGATGCTAAAGCTATGTTAAAATTAACATTTACCAAAGAATATTCGTTAAATGCTCTTACGATTAACTTATGAGGTTTACTTTACAAATGAGATGTGAGGAAAATATGTCAAATATTGAACATTTAAAAGATGGAGGGGGTGGGGGTTGTATGGCATTTAGGTAAATATGAGGTAGGTATATCTAAAAGACCAACGTCTAATCATTTGGTCCACTATTCTGGGTTTAATGCACCAAAAAACAATTTTAAAAAGTAGCAACCACTGCTCCTATTGTTGCTACTGCTTTTGACCAGAGTAGATCATATTAAATAAATGCATAGTGATAATTTTTCCTCTTGCTAATGCTCTCCTATTTATTGTTTCCATACTTCTAATTAGTAATAGGTAGTGGTTATGGAAAATGGATGGGTTCTTAAAACATAAGCAAATATGTGACTTTTCTTGCACTATTGCAAGAAGAGTGCTTAAGTGTCTGATTAAGCGTTTCAGGCCCTTAGCTGCTTTCCTCTTGAAAAGCCTTCTCAAAATCAGACGTGACACATAAAGTGGCCTAAAATTGGCCACTAAACCTGGAAATGTCCACCAAAAGCTTTCCCTTAGATAATTTACATTAACTCATTAACTTGTTGACTATTTGGTGTGTATAGTTCACTACAGATTAGTTTGTCACATTACAAATGTGCATGATATTTTGTTAATAATACGTGATTGAAATCAAGTATTATTACAAATATATTTCATGCTATCTCTATGAATATCACATATGCATTTGTAGAGTTTTCCCTCCATTTTTTCTTGTTTTACAATGTTCGGATTTTTCCGTATTTTCTTGAAATTTGTCCATATTAAAAAAGGATTTTTTTGACTTGGCGCTTTTTCATGCATAAGCGCAAAATATTGTAAGCGTTACCTTTCTACTTCGCTCTACTTTTTGCTTTTCACCATCTTTTTTTAAGATACATGGCTGCACAACCTGTTTAGAGTCAATTATTTGGTATTTGCATGTTAAAAAGTACATCACCCTATTTGATACAATGTTCGTCTGCATATTTTTATACGAGCATATGATGTTACAGTATAGACCTTGTTTTCTAACTCTTAACTCTATGTCCCAAGGGACAAAAGAGTTTGGGATGCGAAGACTACTTTTAAGTGTTTTTTTTTTGTGTTTTATATTCTTACTCATCCTAAAGTTCTTGAATGCACAACAAACCACTTGTGATAAATGTATAAATTATAGAAACACATCTTTCTAAATTAGTATTATGTCTATGCACATCGTAAGGTGAAATTTTAGGCATTCTTGGACTATATCTCTGGTTACATTTATTGAATGGAAACATTGGGATGAAGGGGGTATATTGCTAGGTAGATAGCTTTTTGCCGGCTAGATGCTTGTATTTACTCTAACCTTGATTCACCATTTTTTGTCCAAGCAATAGTTGTCATACTGTTTTGTAAGATCGAGGAACACACCTTGATAAAAATGGGTGGCTGAATGGAAGTGACATCACTTGTGTATGTTGGACGTGAGTGTGCACCTTTTGTTGGCTTGGTGCATTTTTTTGAATGTTATCGAAACTATTTATTGGAGGAATCCCATTTTGATGTGATAGAGGGTATAGCTTTTGTTGAAGGTTCTGCAAGATTCTCGTTGTGTCTGTTGAGCTTCTCTTTCCTTAGTTTTCAAGTATATACATTGCTGTTTGTATTTCCTTAAGAAAGAGGCGGTTAATGTTTTAACTTTGATTATCAGTCTTTGGTCACCAGGATAATCCTAACCGTACAGAAAGATCTCCAAAGGTTGTGGTTATATCCTATGGGCACTTCTAATTGTTGACGAGTCTCATAATATACGTTGCACAAAAAAGAAATCCGAGTCGGTAGAGGTACTTCATTATGGGCCTATTGAGATTTATATATTTGAGCTGTATGCACTTTGAATATGTTTTTGTTGATAATTTGTTCTATAATATGGTTGATTCATAGTTATTGACCACCTCTTTAGGCTTCTTGTGTTTTATTTTCTGCGAGCTAGTTACATAGCTGGACAGGTGATGACTTGTATTATCGTAGTGCTACTGCAAAAGAGTAATTATTTATGTATTCACATTTCAAGTGGTAGTCATTTCATTTATTTTTGGACATACTCTGTTCATAATAGATAATGGTAAAATGAAGAAAAAATAAATTTATGAAGTAACCATATTGAAGGAATTGTTCATTAGGACGAAACTATGCACAGGCATAAACTTGTTGATATTGGTAAGATGCCCTTTATTAAGGCCATAATATGCGAGGCAGTAACATGTGTTCAGGTATTGAGTACATTAAATATGTGCTAAATCATAGTTGCATGGACCTTGGTTCTTATTCATGGGAACGGGAATGGGAGCATGACCACTTAATTGGAATCAGGGATGAGGATAGGCTTGTGAAATACATTAGAGAAAGTGGCACACTCTAGGATTATTGAACTCTGGGTCGTCACAGTTGGCGAGTTGGGTTACATTCCACCTCAATTCTAGGATTATTGAACCCCGGTCGCAAATGTTTACACGTCATTTGGTACATGAGAATCGAGTCAAGTGAGAATGAAATGTAGTAAGGAACGATATGGAATAAGTGTGGGAACTGAATGCTCGTTCCCATTCTTACGTTTGGCTACGATTAGAGAATGAAGTGAGAATCATAGTCTTTTTCATTTTTGTTATTGGTTGCTAATAAGCAATCAACGCATTATTTCAAATTTTTTATTCCCGCTTAAGTGAGAATACTCATTCCCTAAGATTTGAAATCACTGCTTATATACCTAGTATTGACCACAATTCACGAGAACATTCTATAGCATTATTAAGAGGAGGAAGGGTTAAGGATTTACCTGGTGTGAGATATCGCGTTATTCGAGGAACCTTAGATGCTGTTGGAGTAAAGGATCGTCAACAAGGGCGTTCTAGTGCGTTGTAGATTCTTATCCAAGACTTGTATCATTAGATGATACCATGTGAATTGCTAGAAACATGTGAAACATATGTCTAACTCAATAACGAAGGTTTCATAAGGGGACTCAAGCATGCTACTGAGACAAAAGATCTTTCTACATGGGAATGCTCGTTTCCACAAAGTGGGAATGAACATTTTAGTTTCTAAACGATGTTGTGTTTGGTACGTAATAATGCCAAGTAGGAATGAGCATTCCATTTCCATCTGTAGCTGCATACGAAACGAGGCGTTAGGGTCCCACATTCCGACAACTATGGACTAAATATCTCATATGGATACTTACTACTAATAGTTCGGGGCAGAGGGTGGAGGGGACATGTTTAGGCTGAAAAATATTTGATTATACATTGTTGGTTGTCATTTTGTATCAATATTACTTTATAGATGCAACCATTTGCTTGAATAAGATTTGAGAAGAGGATATATTCTTTTACTTTTGCTCTAACAATTCTTCTTTTCATATTAACCTGAAAAAGGTTTGTTCCACACATCATTGTTTTATGGCCGCTTAAAGTTTCCCAAGTTCAGCTATCCCTCTTGACCGCGTAAAGCAGGGTAAAGATCAAGCAGCATAATAGGGATAATAAGTTTATTTCCACCCAAATCAATTAAGTCTATGGCATCCTCTCCTTATCGTAATTAATTGAATACTTTTGTCCTTACTTTTATAGGCATCTAAATTAGATTCCGATCATTTAATTACTCTGGCTTTCTTCTTTCGATAGTTATTCTTTGTGTTATCCGAGGCATGTGCCTCGCTACGCCTCATGCTTTAGATGATGCGGGGTGGTAGCAAAGCCCTATGCAAATATAAGGTAGCACCTTTTCACGCCTCGCAAGTGCTCTGCATTTCAACCACGACGCATTCGGGGTGTTGCCTCGTATATTTTGTTCCTAAACATTTCAATCAGGTCTTTATACCTGATAACTCGTAAATACCCACTAGGCCTTTCTAGAACCTGATTGACGACGCAAACGGGTTCTTGTTTCTCTCTCCCTCTCTCATGGTGCAAACTCTCTTTAGAATATATGGAGCATGTGACTCTAGAGTGATTTCCTGTGACTATTAGACATTGTTTCTAGTATCCCCGACATAGCTGATATATTCTTTTATAAGGCTTGTAACAAAATGATATGTTCTCGATATTTTTAGCGCTTTGTGGCAATATTTTGGGCTATATTTCCTTGACATGGCTGATATATCATGTGATATGTTGTTCGATATGCCCTTTTATACGGCTTGTCGCAAAAACAATACAGTTCTACAAAATTTATTTAATATTTCTTAGCAAAAATTTTAGACTTGTAAAAATTTTAGCAAAATCCTAGTTTCCCTAAGTAAGTTTCTCCAATTGGTTATTAGTGATTCTAAATATATATTATTTATATTTTATGTGCTTATATTTCACTAACTATGCTTAGATTATGTTTTAGGACAACATATTATATATGCACATTATCCGATTTGGCACTTCGATAGTTCTTACACATCCCTGATATTTCTCGATGTCCTTAATTTGATTCCGACTGCCATCCGATATCTCCTTCACATCCGATATTTAAACCTTGCTCTGGGGTCAACTTTCACCGAGCATAGAGGCATATGTATGATATATTCATCATTCTATTTCCTTCTGTTGCTTTGTTCTACTGATTTCAGATTATTTTATCTGTCACTGTTTTCTTGCTACATCTTTCCATTATGGTTTAATCTTATATTTGCTTGTGAAAGAATTGGATCTTATACAATGTACACAACCAAAGGCCAAACCAAGTGATATGTTCTATTATATATTCAGAAAAATATGTTTGTGGTGTGCGTGCCTTGCTTCCTTGAGGCGTACGTATTGCATTGCTCTTTGCACATGGTGCAAATAGGGGGAAGTTGCACCTTGTATTCCTTGATAACATTAGGTGGATATGTTTTTTGAGGGCTATGTTTATTTTACTTAGGCCAATGTGTATGTGTTATACCGGTAACTTTGATTGTCAGTTTGCTTTATTAGTCTAGTTCTTGTCCAATTTTATGCCAAAGTGATTGAGACATTAGTCCAGTTGTTGCGTTTACTTATAATAATCTGGGGTTTTAAAGGAAAATTAAGAGCTTATATTCTTGCATTATACCTTGCCCAGCTTCTAAGAAATTGCAAAAGGTATGTCTGAAGAATGTTATAAGACAAATTTATTTAGCATAAGCGACCAACTTTCCACCATGTCAGCATCATGTGTGAATGTTGGTTGATTTTTAAAAAATTGCAATTTTTCTAATACAAGGGATTGCCAATCCCGTGGACTTAGCAAATTTTAGTAGTTTATTAATTGTATGGGATTGTAAATGCAATATATTGTTGCTATTTCAACTTTAACCCAATTGCGATAGTTGACCAAGTGATTTAAGCTGTTAGAATTAGGCTTTGATTTCCGTGGGTATGGGTTTAAGTCCGACTGTTAACCAAATTTATTTTTTTCATTTATGTTAATAAATTTATTCCCTGCCAAACATAAAATCTGCAAATGTCACATGGGATTGTTGATCTAGTATGCTTAAACTTCCAAGTTTCCAATTGTGATCGACTATTGTTGATAAGTCAAAATTCTAAAATATGGAAAAGAAAAAATAAATTCATTATTTGGCATGAGTGGATTCAAACCTATGCCCTTTAAACCAAAGCCTAAATCTAGAACCTTAATTCACTTAGCCGACTATTGCTCTTATCAAAAGTTTTGAAAATGAACTATTTTCGGGATTGTCAATCCTCTATACTTAGTAACATTTGATAATTATACGGGATTAATCCGTGTAGAAAAATTGTGTTTTCTAAAAACCAACCAACTTTCATCGCACAATGCTGATATGGTTAAAAGTTGGTTGGCTATCTTAGATAAATACAAAATCGCTTCATTTTGCTAAATAAATATTAGATTTGGTCTATTTCCAAAAATTGCCCAATATTATATGATTAATAAGTTACTAAAGGACTTAAGTAACCCTGGAGGTCATCCTACTCAAGTTGTACCTGCACCAACCCTTAACTAGAGGTTTTTTGTTACAATTCCTCTCTCCAAATGCTAGATACAATGAATTTTGACTTAGTTGGATAACACCAAAGACCATTCACTTTGAGGTTATTACTCTTGTGTCATGTGACGTCCCTGGTTTCACACATAGCTGCAGTCCAAGGTGAATCCAAAGATGTCAAACCTGTCATGCATCCACACTGTGCATAAACACGTTTCACCAATCACAGTAATATCATCTAGTGGAATCAAATATAAGTGCAGGTACGAAATATGCAAAATAAGGAAATAAAAACAATAGACATGATATAAAAAGAGATCTCATAAATAAAAATCATGTCTCAATTGAAATACATCTGATATCTGAAATAATAAAAATGTCTCAAGAAGAGTCAACTGATAATATACTAAGGCAAACTGTCTTTATAATATGAGTACAAAACTCTAATGTCTGAATAGTAAAAATAAGTCTATAGTGGAGTCTACTAATAAATCATGCGACAACGACTATGATAGAACTCCGTCATTCTGCGGCTCTTCGAAACTCTGAGTTGCCTGAAAGGAAATTTAAAATAAAAATAGCAACAACGTCAGAGCGCTACAGTAAGATCACCTCTATCCGTCCCCAGAGGAAGTGCTGCTAGATGAAATGTCTCTATCTATTAAGCATAGTCTACCTAGATCATTTTTCCTGTATCTAATGAAATTAATATTTAGACACCTATAATGTGAGACGTAGTTTGTCGAGCGAAATAATTCAAACAAGGAAACCCTCATGTATATACCATATGTCCTAAATTATAAGTATCTAAACATAAACACCGAGCTAGAGATAAACAATCTATATGGAATCAATAATTAGAAATCCACAACACGAGACTAGTACTAGTACGTCGAGTGAAATAATTTAAACAAGGAAACCCTCATGTATATACCATATGTCTCAAATTGTGAATCGCTAATCATTGATCCTAATCTAAGAATAAAATAAAGCAATACATGAAGTAAAGACATTCATAATATTGTATTTATATTATCTTTCACTATCACTGGGAAGATAAGATAAATATCAGCATATAATCCCGCGTACTTTTAAGGGCAAAGTACCTCAGTCATATATCTCAGCAATGAGTCATATACATATCTGGCATTCGTCAAAGACTCAGACTATCAATCAATAATCTTAAAGCAACGGACTATCCTGTAAGTATCCTAAATAGTGTACATGGCTCATTAGTCTTATCACGATCTCAGCACGTAGCCTGAGTGCGAGACGACCTACCATATAGGTATCCAAATAGATGGCCTCACAAGCCTCATAATTATACGGCTCATAAGCCTCATCGCACACTCGTGCGGACGGATTACGATACAAAGCATCCAAACCCAACTCAATGGCCTGTACATATGGAATATCGACGCACTTCCTCATGTAGTACTGAACTGAGTTCATCAACGATATTCATCTCATGTAAAAACTGTGTAAATATGGTATATCAACGCACTATCCCATATAGCACTGAGCTGTGCTCATCAATGATATCCTACGAGTGTATGAACAATCTCTAACTCTATTATAAACAACCCAATTCTTGTCAAAACCTCCCTTTACGATACTCATGTGTGTGCAATGCCACTATACTTGTGTATTCGTGAGCGTACATGTAAAGAAGTGCGGCTCGAACCCCGCGAACACATTTTGAAACAGCGCAAAACAACAAATTAGGAAAACTGCGTTTAGTAGTCGACTATTAAGCTTAGTAGTTGACTACACTGAGTCTATTTAGACTCTGTATTCAGGAAAACTACATTAGTAGTTGACTACTAACAACACATAATTTTTGCATGTTTCGTATATTGTAACATGTTCAAAAACAAATCTTTATTATCATGAAGCATAAAACAAGATTTATACTAAAAAATTATTTGACAGATTATCTCAATAATAATTAAACTCTTAAATTAATCAAATTAGGTTAACATCTTAATTAACCAAAATTCTCAATTAGCTCTTAATTAAACAACATAATTATCAACACATGATAAAAACTACTCATGAACAGAGGAAAAATTCGTTTAAACATGATTAAACAACATAATTATCAACACATGATAAAAACTACTCATGAACAGAGGAAAAATTCGTTTAAACATGTTTATATGACTTAGTATCAACACATGATAAAAACTACTCATGAACAGAGGAAAAATTCGTTTAAACATGTTTATATGACTTAGATTTCACAAACCTAGGGTTAAACATAGTTATTTATCATGAAAGCTCAATTAAAAGACAAAACTAGGGTTTTAGCATGATTAGAACATGATTTATATATTTAAAACGTAATTATGAATAACCCTAATGATCATGATCATATTATTATCATAAACAACAAAGATTTTTTTTACAGATCTATCATGGGTTAAAGATTTATCATTAAATATCTATATTTTATCATGTCGGGTTAACTTTAACATGAAAACATCACTTTAACCATTAAAAATCTAATCTTTACTAAGGGAAGAGTTTAGAGGAAGATGATCTTGCCTCAACTACGTGCTGCAACTCCTGAACACGTTTGAAAGACCTTCTCGCCAAAAACTGCAAAGCCTCGTCTTTCTCTCGACAAACGCCTCGAGATCTCTCCCCAAACTCACAATTTAGGGTTAGGGTATGAGGAGGAAGGTGACTGGTGTAAATCTCACGTGAAAGAGGTTAAAAAGAGTTTTAAAACACAACTGGGTTCGAAAAGAAGTCAAAACCGACCCGAAATTTGAAAGAATCTGGAAATTAGCCTGATTAGTCGAGTATTACCATTATTAGTCGACTAATGGCTTTACCAGTCGACTACTAATGTTAGTAGTCGACTACTAAGACTTAAATCAATCTGTTTGGGAAAAACAGTCTTCGGTATTTTGGCTGTAACTTTCCCGTCCGACCTCGGAATATGGTGATATAAGATGATTTGGAAAGTTGTTGAAGAGACCTACAACTTTTGTCTTTTGAGCTTTTTCAGATTCGAACTGTATCTGTGTGAAAAACATAAATACTCTTAACTGGTCGATTTTTTCAGATTCAGGCTCATGCATATCGTGCATGATTTCGCTCTTATATTCATATACATACATTGGATTGATCTCAAATCAATCGCTAGCATACTCAAAACATCAATATATGTTATTTATCACCATATAACATATTTATTATTATTTATCACATTCTATTCAAATTTACGAGGTTTTACATGACAGTTACTTCGTCCAAGTTTTCTTTAGTCATCCTCCCCACTTACTATTGAAAACCTCAACTTAAGGGGCCCCTTTCTGTGTTGAACCTCTTCCATGTATGTTTTATCTGTTGGAAGTTGGATTGAATCACTTTAAGTTACTTGTAATACCAGAGCTTAATTGCACAGTAATATATTATGAACTTGGTTTGTCGGTAAGAGTGTGAGAGGTATTGTTAAGATGATACCAGTTTCTTCAATATAGGTCTGATCTTAATGATAATTTGGCGATTATTTTGTTTCTTTAGTATCCACAAGGTACTATGTCCTTAATAATCGTCATCGTGGTACTGTTGTTTTAAGTTTTTTTTGTCTCCTTGTGCCCTTGAGTTTATTTTCTTGGTCCTGAAGCACAGTTATGGTGTATATCACATCGTCGTGCATCTTCTTAGATTTTTATGTTTTTCTATCTGATGTATTTTTTTAATATCTTCTCGATTATTATGTAGATTTGTAATTTATGATAGTTTTTACCTTATAGTTTTTTATTTGTTCTTCTGTGCATGGCAGACAGAAGCTGTACTTCAAATGGCAGCACAGGTCGATCGAATTATTCTTCTCTCAGGGACACCTTCTTTGTCAAGGTGGAATATGAACTATCTTCTTGCTTTCTGTGCATGTTGCAAAAATAGTACTATGTTTTTCTCTTTTAGGGAGTTTATAGTATAAAACAGGACATTAGACAAATTAGCATTAATTGGGTTCTCGTTTCATCATGATTCGAAGTTCCGCAAGTAAGTTTAAAAGGTATACATTCACATCAGAGAAACACCAATTCACCTTATTAGTGTTAATGTGTAAGATCAAATTACATGAAATCCATCAACTATAAATGTTTATAGGAATTGGGAGTTGATGAAAGTTAGCTTCTGGAAAACCTTAAGATGTTTTCTACGGGTATCTCCTGTTTTCATTCATAAGAGTAATATGTATGATGCGCCAGTGTGCAGAAGAACTTGTACTAGTTTTTTCGCTTATATAGAAAGAAAACATTTTGATACGTAGAGTTATCATGTCCAAACCAGTTGTTTGCTTACATTTTTCTTCTGTTATTCTCCTCTTCTTTTCTCCTGCTGCTTCTCCGTAAGCCCATGCTGCTTATCTTATTCCTCTTCTCCTTTTCTTTATCTTTTAAGGTGAGAAGGAATAAATATCCCTCTCCACCTTCTATTTGCTGTGTGTCTTGTGTCCCCTCTCCTCTTTGATGCCATTTCCACAATACCATGTCCACAATGTAATTATCCATTGGACAAATATCCGCTAATTTTCAGTAAAAGCCATCGTAATTTTTTGCGCATTCTTTACCTATACTACTATACAAAATCAGTTGTGGGGCATAAAAAAGTGGAGGAATGGGTTTTTTCCCTTCAATTTCATATAGGAATTTGAGGTCATTTTAATAAAGGATGGGAGCAATTTAGTTATTTGTTACCATCTTATTGATGTAGGCTCCATTTGTCCCTCCTCCCTCACTCCTAGAAGATTTCATAACTTTTCATTCTTCCATCTCTATTTCAAATTTAATCCATCTCTTTAGAGACTTTCAGATTTAAAAATTCATTCCCCTTTATGTAGAAGGTTTCATTATTTTCATTCCTCAATCTCATTCTCAAATTTAAAATTTTATGCATGTTTTTTATTTAAAAATCGTATAATTTAAGAACATAAAAATGCAACACAATGTGCACTAGGTAGTAACATATTATAAATAAGAGCCTTATTTAACTTGTATTTAATGTTTAATTAAAATGCTTTTTGAACTAGAAAAGCACTTTTTATAATTATGGTAATAAAACTATAAAATCTGGATGATTTTCTTATGTATAATAGTATTTGTTGCTTTAATCTAAATTTAACCGAGGTTCGAGAAGCAAAAAAATTTAGAAAATAAGTAAATGGAATTTGTTTTATTTATATCCTTCAATGCTTAATAAACTAGTTTTTGAATTTTGAGCTTAATTTCATTCATCTTATTAAAATTAAGGGTACACTAATAATTTTTTAGATGCATAAACGATATGCATATTTTTAAATAAATACTTATTATTTTGATCAATATTCTTTACTGCAGATACTATAAATTCACATTTAGTGATTATATTATAATTAACATGCAGGATCGAGAACTCTTTAGATATCCAATATTACTTGCATGTTTCAATATACTGGTTTTGTTATAATGCTCATATCAGGTTTTTGTTTGCAAATATTTATTGTAAACACATCCATTATTTTAGTTCATATTAGACAAATTAACATCCACAAAATCGTAGTATTATCAGAGTAGATGATAGAAGACATACACAAGGATTAGGCTCATCTATCTTTTACGATCCATGAGTGCGATTAAATGCCCCATGCTGCTTTTAGTTACTGACCGTTACATTTTAACTACTCTTTACAATGATTAGATAAAAACATGATCACTGAGCCATCTTTACAATGATTAGATAAAAACATGATCACTGAGCCATTTTTTTAGCAGATTTGTGTTGTTATCTACATGCTTTATGTTGTACGCTAAGTTGCGCAGACACGGGTACGTGTATGGGTATAGGACACATCAAATTTGTAATAAGGTAGGGTAAGGGGATGTGGCTTAAACGCATGAGATGAACTCATAGATCTTAAGTAAATATGCAAACAACTCTTTTGAATTGAATATGGGCTAAAAAGTGGATGTGAAGTGTAGGATATACAAGCAAGAAGTGTATAATGAGTTTTTATAATTGACTGACCAAAAAAATGAGTTTTTTTAAAGTAAAATATGTATTATATAATTGAGCACATGTTTGAATATACATGCATATATTCGAGGAGTGTTCAAGAAGTGTAGGGTACGGGTACAGGAAATGTCGGATATGGATACGACTTCATGATAGAAGTAGGAAGCACTAATAGTGCTAGATCCATGGAGATCAACAGAAGACGACAAAACCCCATCGATATTGTTGATTTATTCATAGGAAAGGTAGAAGTTAAGGAAATTGCACTTGAATTACAATGATTTGCATTAATATATCATTTCATGGTTAATTAGAGAAAGTAAAGTCACTTAACAAGTCTCTAATCTCCTTAGCTTCATAATTTCTACCAATTTTTAGAGGCTCTATGGACTATAGAAAAAAAATATTTTTTTAGGAAAAAATATTAAAAAAAATAATGGAAATAAAATACTTGCTTAAACTGAACCTACTAAAAAAATGTCTAGAGCATAATACATAATGAAAATTAAGATGTGGTTAGATTGCACCTTGAAATCCCAGTTTATCCTTCATTGACCTCATGTTTCCTATTTTGTATTAGAACCCTACAACTGAATGCCATCTTATGATAATCAGCTGTTTGATACTTTGATCTACCCAGTTATTCATCTTTTCATATATCCTAGATTCGTTCCAATTTAATAGCCTTGTAATTCATATTTACTATTCTTTGTCATTTAGATACTTTTGGATTTATAGCTCCTACAAAACTGAATATTTAACAACAACTGCTTAATTCCTTTCATTAAAAAAAACCCTTAATTGATACTATATTGGGGCCCTAAAACCATGAAGGTTTAGCATTTAGTAACAATGTTTGAAAACATGGTTTTATTATGTGCGCGGTTCGAGACCTCTTAACGATTAATCAGATTAAGTGTTGATTAATCAGATTATGAAGAATTATATGTTTTTGAGCATTCAATGACTAGTTAACTACTGAAAAATTCAATCCATAGATAAAATTAACTAAATAGTAGATACTCAAATAAAAGTCGTTAAATTAACTAGACACTCATACAAAAGTTGTTAAGAGATTTGTTTTTTTTATTAAAGCCAGATCGGGTTTGGGTAAAATGGTTCAACCCTCGATGAAAAAAAAAACCCGCCGGCATAAACAAATTATGCCAACGCTTACTTAAAACTCGGCTGATTAAGCGAATGTCCACATAATTGACTGTTTAGCTCAAATCCTGCATGGTTTTATCCCGCTCCCACTTAAGCGGGTGCTTAAACCTTTTTAAGAATAACTGTCAAGCTTAAACTATTTAGTCTAAAAACACTTTAATGCTTGTAAAAGCACTTTAAAGCACTCAAAAAGTGCTGAAACCACTTTTCCAGCCAACACTTTAACAAAAGTAAATTTTGAGCATTTTTTGCTTCATTTTTCTGCCCGACCCGATCCCGAACAGTTCTGATAACTTAAACCTTCCTTTATTTTCTCTTCCTCTTTGCAATGCTCTCGTTTATTGTCAAACCCTAGAAAAATCCTAAAGCCACCAAATCCCACCTCCTCTGTCCACAGCCTCGACAAAGCTCAGCTCCACCATCACCATCATAGCCTCCTGCACCTTCTCGACGAAAGTCCACCGTCAATTCTCTCAACTTAGAATGCTTTTTTTACTTTGTGCTTGACTGCTTGTTCTGCTTTGAACCATTGTTTTAAAAAGCCTCCGCCTAGTTTGCCTAGGCCTAGGCAGTACTAAGGCCGCCTAACTAGTACCTAACGCCTGGGCAGTACCTAGACTGCCCACTTAGGTTTTGACAGTTTTTAGGGGAGCGTTATCTACTTAGGTGGACTGTACCCTTTAGACATTGATCGTGATTTTCTGTGTTGCAGGCTTCACGTCCTCTAACCTCTTTCAAACTCCTTTAGCCTCTTAATATGAACACCTGCACTACCTCATCCGACCTTTAGCAAAACCTCATCGACCACCACTTAAATAAAGAAAAAAAATCCGCCTAGACACCGGTCCGGCACCTAAACTTTCTATAACATTGACATTTACTATCAAATATTGTAATTCAAAAATAAAAATAGAAAACCTTCTAGGCTCTAGGCGTCGGGTCCAATGCTATGGCATCCTAGCGCTTTCTATAACATTGTTAGTTATTATTTTGGCTATTTAGTATTCAAGTATGCATGATTTATTGTAGATCTAAAGTTGTTATCTTATTTGAGCAAATTTATATGAATTTAATACATGTTTTTATCAGTTATTATAATTAAATAATTAAAAAAATAGCCAAACGCTTAGGCGCCGCTTAGGCATACGTCTAGGCGCTAGCTCAAACACATTGTCCTCCTAACACCTTCTGTAAAATTGCTTTGAACCGCTTATGCCCCAAAAAGCTTAATGGTGCTTCACTACTTTTCTATGCTTTCCGCTTTCCACAACCTTGACAACTATTAAGTAAACCTTACCTTAAACATCTTAACTTAATTCAGGTCATATCAAACTGGTTGAGTCATGCAGCTTTACTTGTTTACAAAGATAACTTATTGTCGAACATAGAGCCCTACTTTTTTAGGTATCCATTGTATGGCACTGACTTTAGATTCCACATAATTTTGACTAACTCAATTGATTCTTAAAAGCCTCACTGGAGCTGGAATATAGTTTCTTCAGAATTTTGGCTAAATTAATAATAATTATTGCAATTTGAGAGATAAACTCAGAATTTGGGAGATAAATTTAATACTTTTTATATGAAGGTAGGAGGCCTGGGTCATTTTAGCTTTGCGTACAGATTTTACTTTCCTCTTCTTTTAGAACTTAACAAAGCATAAGCTAGTTACATGTAGTATAAGCTTAAAGGGACACAGGAAACTACAACAACCGAAGCTTCTCCCTTTTGTCAAGCTTACACACTGACTGACATCCCAAATTAACCAACATAAAATTGGATTAACTCGAGATGAGTATTTTGTTCGACTCTCTCTCTCTCTCTCAGTTTTGGATATTGGTATTTTTAATTTCAGTGGATGACCATCTATTTCTTTGTTTCTGGGTCATTTGGTGTGCTTCTAGGTTCGTACTCTTGGTTAATTTTCATTTTGTTGATTTTCAGCAATAGGTTTTCTGCTATTTTCTGGATAGATTTTATATCATCCATTTATAGGCTTTTATGTTAATGTTATATTTGTTTTCTGCTAGGTGTTAATAGGCCCTTTGACATATATCATCAAGTAAATATGTTATGGTGAGTTATCTTTTTCAGTAGCCTTTAAAGTTTACTTCTTTTCTACATTGAACCTTATAAGTGATCTTTTTCAGTCCACGTTTGCTAGGAAAGGACAAGTATGAATTTGCTAAGAATTACTGCTTAATGAAGGTTGTCCAAGGCTGTCAGGGGAAAACTTTCAAGGTATTTTTCTGTTAAACTAACCGCCATTTAGCAAAGTTGTCCGTGATATGTAGTTTGATTTTGTGCTTGAATTAACTATTTGTGGTTGTAGGACATACCTCCTGGTTGCCTATTTTATATAGCTGGCTGACGTAATAAGCATTCCACACTAGCAGAGGTTTCTTTTATTTTACAACTGAATAAGAATTATAATTGGACAAACTATTATTTCATCATGTCTGTTGAAAATGTTGACTTTAGCTCAGTAAGATAGTAATAGTCATTAAAGAAAATTACAAGAAGTTGATAGGGCATTCATTTTCTTGCTGCTGTTCATAACATATCTAGAATGTTGGAAGTGCACAAGCATATATAAGCCTACCTTATTTTTTTTGTAGCATTTAAGATGACATGATGTTGGATTCTGTAAGGGATAGCTTCAGTTAGAAGATGCCATGTACTTCTTAAGCCAATATCCCTTCTTTTGGCGAAGATACTGGTTTATACTTCGGCCTCGCTCTTTGGAGTCAACCTGTTAATGCTTATGGCGAAGTTACTGGTTTATACTTCAGCCTCGCGTGGAATCAACCTGTTAATGCTTAATTCTCACAATAAACAAAGAAAAATGACTCTTTAGCATTTCTTTATTGCGCCTTCAATTATGTCAACATTTTGTGGATCCATGGTTGGAAAACTCCCACAAAGATCTTCTGCTTTTCTTATTTGTATCAGATTACTTTTGGTTGTGGTGGATTTTGAGATTCATTTCTTATATTTTTGCAGGATTTCTCCAAGGGCACCCGGTTGGAAGAGTTGAATGTGTTGCTCAGTCAAATACTCATGGTATGTGCATGCTTTTCCAATACCACTTATATAGTACAGCCAATATTTTTTTTCTTCATTGTATTTTCCTTCGGTGTATAATACTTTTTTTCATGTGCGAAGTTAGGCCTGGCCTGCTGTTACTTGGTTAGGATACATGATTGTCAAGTGTCCTATTTGTAGGATAGTGGGACACAAATGTGTTTGGCTTTGAATCACTCCCCAAGACCTAATATTGTATTGAAGGACACATGACAGGCCAACGTTGCATTTATTGGTACTCTTAAGATTCCCAAATGATACAAACTTACGGTTGCTGACCTGTAATTAAAGCCCACTTTATAAGTCTGAAGGCATTTCATTTCTATTCTAACATTTAAAAATAATGAAAATGGAGTATTTGTCTTGAACACATTAATATTTTATTAAATTAATCTGAGTCTGATCTTATCTCTGAGCTTGCAACCATCTGCAACATCCGACAGTGCAAACAAGGGATTATCAAAGCAATACTAGTAGGTTCGTGAAAGAAAAGGAAATAAGAAATATATACACAACATGTTATGCAATATAATAGTACAAATTATAAAGCATATGAAATGGGAAAGACGATGCTAAGGTGACTTTATACAATGTTTCAAATATCGGCCGATAAATCGATATTATTAGCGATTTATCGATTTTGGGCGTCTTCGCTATGATAAGTTTTGATTTTAAATCGATTATCGTTCTTGAATGTTTATTGGCGATAATGTGGCGATAAAGTGAGTTATCAGCTGATATTGTCCACTCAAAATATCGGAATTATCGGCCTTTGGTTTGAGTTTAGGTTTGAGTTTGGGTTTGGGAATATCACTCTGATAAATCTCATGACTATTAAATCTCAACTTAGTAAGTTAGTTTATAATCCCATTATTACACAATAATTATGTTGACAATTCTTCATTCTTTATGTTATTTGGTTGTATGTTATTCTATTTTTACTAACTATGCACTCGAATAATTTCATTATGCGATCAAGAAGCAAGTTTCTACCATTGGTTAGTGATCATAAACATGATTATTTATATTTTGGTATGTTTATATTTCATTAAGTATGGTTAGGTTACATTTTAGGATATTATATTATGTATATATACCATCCGTTAATATCACTCTGATAAATACTACTTATCCCTGATATATTTTCGATATCCGCTATCCGATATGGATTTTGACAGTTCGATAAATCCTTGATAACCGATATTTAAAACCTTGTTTTGACTACTTGGTATTCTTTGTTCTCGTGATTGACTACCATTTTAGTTGACTATGAGTTTCCCTGTCATTAGAACATCTAGGTTAGCTGATGATGGCTAGTGATTGTAAATATAGGGTCAAAGTTTTAAATATCGGTTATCGAGGATTTATTAGACGATCAAAATCCATATCGGATAGGGGATATCGGGAATATATCAGGGATAAGTAGCATTTATCAGAGTGATATTATCGGATGATATATGTACATAATATAATACCCTAAAATGTAACCTAACCATACTTAATGAAATATAACCATACCAAAATATAAATAATCATGTTTAGAATCACTAACCTATGATAAAAACTTGCTTCTTGATCGCATGATGCAACCATTCGAGTGTGTAGTTATAGTAAAAATGGAATAACATATAAGCAAATAACATAAAGAATGAAGAATTGTCAACATAATTATTGTGTAATCATGGGATTATAAACTAACTTACTAAGTTGAGATTTAATAGTTATGAGCTATGTTAATATTCATAAACAAACATAAGCTAATCACTTAGGCTTTGTTTGGATACCATAATGTTTTTCTTATTGTGTTTTTGTAAAAAAAACACCATGGTGTTATGTTTTTACCTTAAAATGTTTTCAAAACACCATGTCAAGTATTACACTAGTTCGATCCATTATAACATTAGTATTCAACATATTATTAATATATTATATATTAATTATAATAAAATATATTGTAAATAAAATGTTATAATATTTAGTTTACATTATTATAAGTATTAAATGTAATGCAATATAATATTGTATACTGTATTATAATATTATATTGTACTTTAATGAGTTATATTATATTATAATTATTACATATTATTTTCAAATTGAATATATTATTTTTACATTAACATTTGTTAGCAATAAATTATTTTATTATTAAAAATTATTTTACTTGATAATAAATTATATTATTTATTACGTAATATATTAATATTTAATATATTATATTGTATTTACTATACAATATGTTATTATAATAATCTTATTATATTGTTATGTTATTATTAACTATATTATAAATATTATATAATAGTAACATATTTAATAATAACATAACAATATAACAATATTATAATAACATATTGTATAGTAAATACAATATAATATATTAAATATTAATATATTTATAATGTATTTAATAAAACATAACAATATAATAATATTATTATAATAACATATTGTATAGTAAATACAATATAATATATTAAATATTAATATATTATGTAATAAATAATATAATTTATTATAAAGTAAAATACTTTTAATAATAAAATAATTTATTGCTAACAAATGTTAATGTAAAAATAATATATTCATAAAATAATAATATTTATTTATATCATAAATACTAATATATTATTAATTTATTATAATTTATTTATTAAAAAGTTAATAATATTATAGTGATTATACTATTGTATAGTATATTATTATATTATTATTTATTATCAATAACTTTTTTTAATTTTCTATTAGTTTATTTATATTTTTATTATTTATTTATTATATAATACATTATTAACATATTAAATAATAGTATTTAATATGTTTTTATATTATTATTTAAGATATTTTATTTATTATATTATTTAATAAATATTACTAATATATTAAATTAACTATAATATAGTATAGTATAATATAATAAGCATGTTGATAATAACTCTATATTAATTACATTTAATATATTATGTTAGATATTATATTAACACATTCTCAAACTCAAAATCAAAACACCAAACTTAAAACATCTGAAAGGTGTTTTGAATTAAGTGTTGTGTTTTTGGTTTGAGGATGATTTAACTCAAAAAACATCATGGTTTCCAAACGCATGGTGTTTTGTTTTTGGCGAAAATACCATGGAAACAAGTAAAACACTATGGTATCCAAACGGAGCCTAAACAACCAAGTTCCAAAAGTAGCAAATAGTTTATAATTCTTAAACATCCAAAGAGCAAATCCAAACCCAAATCCAAACTCAAGCCAAAAGACGATAATTCCGGTATTTTGAGTGGACAATATTAGCTGATAACTCACATTATTACCGCATTATCGTCGATAACATTAAAAAACGATGACCGATTTAAAATTAAAACTTATCATAGCGAAGGCCCCCAAAACTAATAAATCGCCGATAATATCGGTTTATCGGCTGATATTTAAAATACTGAGTCAAAAGTACTTGAGATCACAAAAGTACACTATGGCATTGAAGTTGGACTATGGAACTCACTTGCATCATATATTGCAAGCTTGTATCCAAGTCAAATTCAAGCCTATTATCTAGTTTCCTATTTTATAAGTTATTTGGAATCAGCACAGACACTCCCAACACGTTAATACGGATAATAACAATTAGTGATGATGTTGATTTGTCTATGTTCCAAAAAATAATTAGTTGGGTTGACGCTACGCTCCCAGACCTTAAATTAAGGTCATTGGATAGCATCCCACATAATTCCCCCATTTACCCATATGTAATTATCAGCATTTTAGTAGTTGGTTTGTACACGATTTTATGCACTAGTCCCCGTGTTTCCTAATATCGTTGATGCCCAACCTCGGGGATTTCCCACCATGGATTCCAGGAGATCAGGTCTGTCACATCTAGCGTAAGGTGCCCATGCTAGGTTGCTGCTAGGTCTATGAAAATCCTAGGAAACAATTGTCTACCTACCTAAATACTCAGCATATGGCTCAACGAATCATCAGTGTATCTTTCACATACTCATTGGTGTTAAGAACTTGGAATCTTGTACTAACACCTTATCTTTATCACATGTTGGAGAATCACGAGATTAAACATAACATTACAAATCATTTTATACTGTCCTCGCGATAACTCTGTTTCAGGTGTCTACTATCATACATGTACAAATCCAAAATATTAGTGTGATCTCATCAGATAGGCATATATATACATATATCATGCTACATAGAATCTCTTCTAATCATCTTAAATACATTATCCATAAGTGCAGGTCATTATTGTCTCAAGGAGAGTATCGGTATCTCCGACACCACTTGTCGGCATATTTTCCGTATGTAAACGTACAAACATACTACAGTGATTAGATTCATGTCCAAAACATATATGTCTATACTTATTTATAGATGCACCTTACAACCCTACAACTGTCATTAGCCTAATCTTTCTTGGAGAAAGAAAGACATAATTTGTCTTTAGTACATGTGACATGACTAAGAAGACTATTTTCTTATCATAACTAAGGTCAGGTATGTTTACTATCACAAGAGCTATGGCATTTATACCAATTCTGCTGAGTTAAGGATATCACCTACATTAATCCTATTGGTTATTAGAGCTAGAATAATAGCCAACTATACTTACTCTGCTATGACTAATTTAGGAGATATGCTAATCCTATTGCTAATAGGATCAGGCCCCATCTCTTTTATGGTTATTCTAATCTAATCTAATCTAATCTTAACCCACTGATTGCACTCCTTATCCTACTTGGAATTCACATGTATCTGCGATGCAACTGGGCTTACACCTCAGTAGACATTACAACTAGGTAGAATGAGGTACTTGTGGTCTACTGACTGATCGGTCAGGCTGACCTTAGCATACATCTCAATAGCTATTACAACTAGGCAGGACGAGTGACTGGTGGTCTACTAACCGGTCGATCAGATTGGGCTAGGCTTACAGTCAGCGGATCGATCGGACTATGACCAATGGA